CACACATATTAAACTTCTTTAAGACTTATTGGCATACTATTTGCTTCCCTTATAGCTGAAAAAACTGCTGTGGCAATATTTTGTTTTCTCTCTAACATGCATTTAAAGATCCCCCCCCCCCGTGTCAGCCTGCAATTCCTCCAATGGCCACTTGAGACAATCTCCAAAAATGAGCCCATGCTTGCCTTCTGGAGTGTTCTTAATGGAATTATCTGACCAATATTGTGTCCTGCTGTGTGGTGCGAACTATCCAAGTGTGTGTTTTTTGAGTCTGTTACTCAGCAAACAGGTTTGCAAGCACTTTATGAAAGCAACTTGGTAACAATGCCCGTACAATGTCAGTGAGCCAGTATCTCTTCTATGCATCACTTCTGCCTCCAACAATTCAAGAGCGCAATAACCACAACACCTAAGTCAGGGTCTCACAGATGGATCGCGGTGTCTCATCCATCTGTTTGTGTATGTTCTGTGGTTATAATTGTAGTAGGTGAACACATGTATTGCTTGATTCTAACTAGTTGGCTGTTTTAGCTTATTGTGTTGTTACCTATTGTTTGTTGTCCTGTTTTATTGTTTGTTTTAATTGTCTCATGCTTTTACTGACTGTGAAGCACTATGGTCAACACTGTTGTTTTAACTTGTGCTATATAAATAAATAAATAAATAAATAAATTTTGAAATGTAGTGTAACACCCAGGAAAAGATTTTATGTGATCCTTCTGAGACTTTGTCTTTACAAGGGGACACTACATTTTGGCTTTTCTGCACTTTAAACGGGAGGTAAACAATAGTCACTTTATTGTGTCGTATGATGACATATGTTTTTATACTTTCTGTTTTTATATGATATTTATTTTTATCCCAAATATCTGCATGAGGTTGGGCCTCAGGAGATTAAAAACAGGTGATGGGTCACTGGTGACATGGTAGATGATGAGAGGTTAAGCAGTTAAAATGATCTCTTACAGCACTGGTACTCATAGCATAAACACATTTCTTTGCCTTTTTTTATCGCTGACAGCAGAACATCTGTTCATCTGCTCTGCATACAGAGAGCAGGTCAGAGGTGAACGTTGACTTCATGTTGAAGAGAACAGAGAAATATCAATATTCATATTCAGCCTCTTCGCTCATCTTTCATGGACATATTTAAAGGAGGAGAAAAGACTGTGTTTGCATTCACTTTAATAGCACATGTTTGCTTACAGCACGGAACCAGCTGGGAAATCAACAAGGTACTAAATGATTAAAGCTCGGGGCAGGTTGTTTGTCACATTAAGCATATTTGTAGTTATTTCTCAATATGATGTTTATGAGGATGTCCAAAGACATCATGCAGATAGTAGAGTTGAGTTAACCGGTGATTCTAAATTGACTGTAGGTGTGAATGTTAGTGTGAATAGTGGTTTGTCTCTCTGTGTTAGACCTGCAACAGACCGGTGACCTGCCCGGGCTGTACCCTACCTCTCGCGCTATGGTAGCTGGGATATGCTCCAGCACCCCCACGATTTGAATTGAATTATCTGGATGGATGGAGTTTAGGACTCTACTGACTTGCACACATCTCTTGCATAACGTCTCACCAAAGTAATACACAAAGCTTCAGCACTCTATGCTCGAGGCAGGATGGACAGATGAGCAGTCTTATAACTGAAGCAGCCCTGGTTCTCAGCCATGAATGATTCTGATGTGAGACAGCATTAGACTTTCTGAAAAGTGAAACTTTGAACTGAATAATTGTTTGTTTAAATTCCACCTTCCGCCTACACAGTCCCCAGAAGAAAAAGTCACTATGATCTCAATATCTCTCACTCCAAACATGTTTAATATCACAGTTCTGCCTTTGTTGTCACTGTTTTGATGGAAATGAATGTGGTTGGCAGCTTCTTGGCAACATAGTTACACACAGCAAAAATCTTGTGTGACTGAATTATCATGTTGGCTGACATGTTTCTCATGTATGTGCTTCTTTATGTCCTGTGGCCATAATTAGATTGGACGTGACATTCAGAGAAATTTCCTTTGGGCTATTTTACTGAATATGAAAACATGAAATATTCCAAACAACATCCAGCATGTTTCTAGTGAAATGGTACTCAGACGAGGTAAATTATTGTTTTGAATGCTATCAAGCACAGTTTATGAGTTCATGACATCTGCGTGATATGTACATTAATTGTCCATTAACCGCTGGAAGCCCTCAGGGACGTGTCTTCTGTAGCCTCACTCCCCTAATGATTTTTTCCACTGTGTGTTGTTTGATGTCTGTCTTTGATTGAGAGAACCTGCCGGCAGATGGTGGAATTGTACACACACTCTCTCACACATCCGTGTCATTAGTAATCATTTTCTCATCCTCATCTTTTTAACTGCCAGATGAAGGTGTGTTGAAGGGGGGTCCTATTTCACTGCAGGGCAACCTGCACGTGGCGAATAAAGCCTTGATTGATTGATTGATTGATTGATTGATTGGCTTCATTGGTTACCACATGAGGCAGGTGTACCAGGTTTTGTTTGAACCACATGACATATAAACATATTGTATTAAAACCAAAGCATATACTTGAACATAGATGGCCGAACTTGTGTGCATCATCAGTATCAGTAAAAAACTAACATCCAAGGTTCTTCATTATAATGTTATTTGAGCAGACCTCACAGTCAGTCAAAACCAAAATGGTTTTGTGGCCTTGAGGTGATGAAATCAGAATGAAAGTGCCACACAGAGTGCTGTCTACTACCCAAACGTGACATGCTAAAATGACACCAAAATGAAGAGGAGGCTAGAGCAAGGAGGGAGGAAGAAAAACAGGTGGTGAGGAGGAGTGACAGCCTGGAAGTGAAGGAAGACGGAGCGATGAGACGAGCAGACGTTTGAAAAGTTTAGCAGCTGCTCCTGAACGCCGTCCTATCCCTCCATCTGTGTGTGCGTGTTTGTGTTTACCCTGACTGTTGGCCTATTAGCCGTCCCTCCACATGTGGGTCCATCTGGTTCATAATGAACATATGGACCAGATGGACCCCCAATTTCACTCTCTCCAGGTGATTTAAAGTGTCTGTTAATTAGAGCTGACGTCTCATTTAGTCTTATTTCTCCCCCTTTCTCATAGCCACAGTTAGTTTCATCTAAATGTGCCATTTAACTAATTGACTAATTGTATAATTCATGGTGGAGTCCCTGAACTGTCTGTTTACCTCTGTGTGTGCCTTTTTGCTGACTCTGAGATGAGAGCAATAGTCTGTCTTTTACCAGGAGTTTGCTAAATACTTCGAGGAGGAATCTGTTTCAAACAAAGCAGGAAAAAAAATAAAATTAGTCAGATCTGCAACTCTTCTGGCTACCCATCAACAATCATTTAAAAAAGAAAAAAAAACAGCTGTTTGTCTGAAGCCACTCATACCCACTGAGATTCAAACTGCCATCACTTTTTCTCGCCAGATATCAGACAGTTCATTGCTGCAGATGAAAAACAAATTTATAAAATTAATCTGGATCCCGAAGTTAGACTCCCCTGACTTTTCAGCTTCTGTGTCGAGATATTGAAACTTAAAACTGCTTAACAAGATGAAAATGTGACAAATGTAAATCAACATCAACGGTCACTCACCGAGAAATACTCTGATCCCAGCAGAGGCTGTAAAATCCAGGTCTATGTTGATTCTTTTGTTCATTAAAACTTTTGTTTAACAAGATGCAGGATCATTAAAACTACATCTACTTAATGCCCACTGCTTTAATCCGTGAATTACACCTAACCTCATGGACCAAGAATTAGCCAGATCCCTCCAGATACTGTTCATTTAAAAGGGAAAAAAAGTTACGTTTAGTCTATTCATTAACATCTGAAACTTAATAAGCCAACAATTCTATTGCTTAACAAGGAAGAGGTTCATTAAAACCAAATCTCCATAGTAAACACTGTAATCCATGAATTAGACAGTGCCACACTTCTCTGGATTTAGCCAGATCCCAGGGGTAATTTAGACAGAGCTCATTAAATCTCCACATGCTTGCAGATGTCTATTAAAACCTCGAAACCAGAGAAGCCGATGAGGAGAGGAAACAAGAAGAGGAGTAATGGGAGGGAATGAAGACAGCAAAGAAAGGAGAGAAGATGAGACATGGGATTGAGGAGAGATCAAAAGAGAGAACAGAAAACATTGAAAGATACACAGTGGACACAATTAGAAAATAATCACGAGGACGTAAGCAGAGAAGATGGGAGAGAAACTGCAAAAGCTGGATATGGTGAAGGTCCTGAGGAAAGAAGCAGAGAAACAAGATCAGGAAAGGAACAACAAAGATCCCAGAAAGCACCGTCTAACTACAGCTAAACATTTGTTCTACATATAAATGTTTAACTAGAATCTGTCAAAAGCTGAGCTGGAACGACACCATAAAAGTTGAAAAAGACAAAGAGACTCCCATACTGTGCGAGGGCAAAGCATCCAGTCCTTTTACTAGGAAACGTGTTTTAGTGAGATTCACTAGATTTCTGGATCTTGGTTCAGCTTTGAAACAAAACGAATAACAGCCAAGTCAATTTTCTAGTTATCATAGCCGCTTTTTCTTTTCTTTGACCTTTTGCATGTATTTTTATGACATAAGGCTTAATATGCACACAACACTGAGCTACATTAATAATACATTAAAGTGTTCTATGTGCATGCAGTCCTATTATATCATGTTGGCTGGTGAAGACTGGAATATGGTTGCTCAAGGCTAGTTAAGATGTTTTGATCATTTTCAATGAGAGTTGCCTGCAGTTTGATTTGGGTCTTTGTTGACTATCAGACCACTAATATAGGCCTCTACTAGTAATATCATTTCTTTGTTTTCTGTCACTCTGCTGTCAAAGTTTAAGAGATTTTAGAGTTTAAGAGGTTTTTCAGTGGTGCCATCCACTGAATCAGCCTTAAATACTGCATTATCACAATCACCATTCTCATAATCAAAGTGAAATATAATACCTGAAAAAGTCCAATTTCTGTGTTTTCAGGAGAAGCAGCGCTTCTTGACTGATGTCCTTCATGAGGTGATGCTGCTGGATGGCCTGAGTTCCTCCCATCCAATCTCCCAGGAAGTGGAACAAGCGACAGACATTGACCGCGTCTTTGACTGGATTGCCTACAAAAAAGTAAGAAGCCACTTTCAACAGAAGTAAGACTGTTGCACTATAAATGCACCTGTGTGATCATGCTCGCCAGTGAATGTTTGAATACCTCTTCAATGTGTTCTTTTTTATTATTATTATTATTATTATTATTATTATTATTATTATTGTTATTATTATTATTATTATTATTATTATTGATGATGATGATTATTAATAATATAAATAATAATATTTTAACAATAAAACTTCAATATGTTCTTGTATTCCAAGCAGACTTGGATTGACTTATAAAGGGAGATCTTCAGCTGCCTTTGGTTTAGTTTTGTCTTTTAAACCTGATCAATAAAGCTGGCTTTTTTCAAACCATACATTTGCTTCTAGCCAATCACAAACACTAAACTGAAAATTCAAAACTGCTATTCACACATTGTCTACATACTTTGACAAATTGGGGTTATATGCTTTAAAACAGAAGAGAGCGGCTGGTAGGGCAGCTTTCCACCCCTATTCCTTTGAAGATCAGCGCTGTCTGAACAGTTTAACATGTGGATCTGAGCCAGTCTCTAATTTCAAAGTTCACCAAAGTTTACTCTTATCTACTTTTCCTCCAGTGATCGCAGCAACTTCAATGATGATGATGGATGATGATGATGTTTTTAACCGTGTCTGAAAGTGTGTTTTTCTTTGCTCTCCGTAGGGGGCAGCACTGATCCGGATGCTTGCTAACGTGATGGGGCAGCCGCTGTTCCAGAAAGGACTCAATGTAAGTTCCCTTTGCTTTGCGAGTCCAGCTGTGTATACAGAGGCTTTTAAATCAGAGGGAACAGCTGGGTTACTGGGCTTTGAATTGATTTATCACCAACACAACATGGAAGGATTCATAGAAACAGTGTGTGTGTGTGTGTGTGTGTGTGTGTGTGCGTGTGCGTGTGTGCGTGTGCATGCGTGTATGTGTTCAGCCATATTTTAGCTAAATCCTAACTGTCATGCTGTGCATATAGATGAACAGGGAATAAGTACCTTTGGCTTGCGGGGCATTCTGAGAGGAAGATTTGCCACGTTTTCCTGTCGATATTGTGATCAGTTTTAAGTGACCTGAATTTAAGCTAGATGCAGTCAGAGCAACAAAATGCAGATATTAAATACACGTTTAAAAGGCGCTGAATTTGTAATACTCAAAGCATAGATTTACTGATAGTGCAGAACAGGAGGTAGGACTTTAGAAATACTTATTATGTATTCCTACTGTTATGGTCTATCATGGTATACCTTGGATAAGTCATCAGTCTGTCACGTGGTTGCAATCAGATGCAGGCAATAATGAGTAAAAAAAACTGTCTAGAACACTGGGGAGGAAGAAGTTATTTGGGGACATAGGAGTTATTTTTTGTAGAACTCACAATTTTAATAGACTTTTACACTGTAGTTGTCACACACAGTCATGAAGCAATAGCTGTGTTAACTAACTCTGTGTGTTGCATTGTTTGTTGTTCAGCTATATGTGGCTGCTGTGTGTCTCTTTGAGGGTTCAAACTGTGATGGTGTCACAGAAACACGAGAGCAGCTAAAGCTCCAATCGCACCAACAGGGTCAGGTAGTTTATTGCACAGGGAAACGCTTTCTATGCTCCAAATTGGAAGGAGACTGTTTGCAGTTACAGTAAAAATGACAACGTCTGATGTAACATGGATGGAGGTTAAATATAATTTTTACTTGGAATGGAGTTGCAGAAATATGTACGAATCCTTGCGCGCACACACACACACACACACACACACACACACACACACACACACACACACACACACACACACAGACTCTGTCCTGGTTTTCCTACAGAAACTGTCAGTGACCTGGAACATACTGGGAGCCAGAGTCTATATAAAATACTGCTGATCCAGCAGCAGAGCAGGGCAGATACATTGTGTGTGCATGTGCATGTGTGTGTGTTATGGAGGTCTTCACGCATGCATTGTGCTGAGCATTACAACATACTAAGAGCATTCGTTTCAGTCACCAGCAGAGTAAAAAAGTCTCGGGAGAATGTTTGCTTCAGTAGTTTGGTTCATATTAATGACAACAACAAAGACTTTCTCGATCGTAACCTCTTTGTCAGAGCGTTTCAACACCTAATCAGGTGTTTAGTGAAAAATACAGCGTATAACAAACCATGCTAAACAACTGCAATGCCATGTGATGGAGTCTCATTCTGGTGATTTGTGGCGTGACGGGAGCCGTAACCAAAATAATTCATGATCGTCTATGCTTTTCTTACCAAAGATAATACTGTAACTTTTAATGCTTCATGAAAGGAACCTTTGTGACGTTGCACACATATTAAAGTTGATGCATTTGAGAAAGAACAGTGAGAAAATCACCCTTCTGAAAGTCACGGAAAAGGCTGAAATTTCTGTCTAGGTTTCATGTAGATTTTAATATTGTATATACATGGAAGGATTACTGTACCAAAGGCCCAGGGGCATCAGGCCTCCCTAGCATTACAAGCTCTGTATACTTAATATTTTCTTGGTGAAAAGCCATGTACAAATGGAAGCAAATCTATCCCATAATGAGAAGAAAACCAGATGGAGACAAAAAACACCAAAGAGACACAAAATGAAACCAAAGAGGCACAAAATGACACTAAAGCTCTGTCAAAACAGGAGGCCAAAGAACTGTGATCTACGGGCTTCTTTTTTGTTGTTCCACTGTGACAAAAATGACTCATATATGTACTAAAACCAATGTTCTGTGCCTGTTTTAAAGAGAAATAAAAGGTTGAGAATATATTAAACTAGAACACATTGGGAAATTTTTAAACTAGATACTCTGAAATCAGTTGAGATGAGATGAATCTCCACAACTGGCCATATGTCTCTATTTCCTATAATTTGTCTTTTTAGGCAGTGTTTAGTGTGATGGATGAAATGCTTGGGGAGCATTTAGGAGTTTTAGGATGTTTGTGAGCATTCTTCAGAGTGCTGTAAGGTTTGTAAGTGTTGTGGAACATAGTGACATCTGGAGTACAGAGATATGGATTTATGGACTTCAGCTCGGGCTAAGTGTACTCCAGCTCATTCAGCTGTGTGAAGATCAAATACTGTGCACAGCCCATGTCTGTAGTGTCTCATCAGCTTGGCTTTAATTACATTAAAGAGCGGACTTTGGTGGACAAAAACATCAATATTGGTTCACCTTTTCTGTATCCCTGATCTCAAAGCCTGATATGTAGAGCTTTCAGAAAAATCAAGAGTTTCCCAGACTGCATCTGGACTTGATGTGGAAAGATTGTGATGATTATGGTTGCCCCGACGTGACTTCAGTGTGGCACAAAACTTGAAACCTCATTAACAGTTATCAATACTTACTGGAGAAGATGTAAATAATGGCCTGCAGTGATCATTGGGTTTTAGAGTCTTTCTGAAGCCCAGAGGAGCTCGACTGAAGGTGAAATTGAAAGTTTATGCAAGTCATCTTCCGATGAGGGAAAGCAAGTCCTCATTAGGCTCTAACCCTGCCTGCAACAATCGAAATGCCTTACTTAAACTCCTACACCTACTGATTTCCTCTAATGACCTTTGACTACTCATACCCACAGTATTTGTTACACAGTGCTTATTATCACTGAAAAACATTTGGTTCAAGGTGCATCACACTGTTAAAACTAATGGAGTCATGCTCTCGGAGTGTGTGTGGGGGCTTTTTTTTATCTGCCTTCATGTCAGATATAGTGAAGGTGGCAGAGCCAAACTCCCAAACGCACTTAGTGTCGTTATCATATGTGTCATCTTGTTCCAATAAAAAGCTTCCCCTTGCCTTATCGAGCTCAAAACGCACCACAGCAAATGACTGACTTGGAGGAATCCACGCTTAAACACACAAAGGACACAGGAATCGCTGAGAAGGAGATTAGCGCTCAGCCTCCATAGCTGTTTTGTTATCTAGTAGTGCTTCCCTGCCTTTTCCTTGTTTTATTATGAACCAAACCAACTACCACCCTCCCTGAGCATTTACTCTAAATCCACTGTAGTGGGAGTGAGTTTCTTGCTCTGGAAAACAGACTGGGACAAGTCGGACCCGAATGTCACTAAAGAACTGCAGGCTGAAAACAAAGCCAACACCATTAAGCCTCTGTTGAATGAGAAAATGGCCCTGAGGAGTCTTCATCTTGTTCATTAGCTTGGAAAATGTAAACCAGGGAGTTTGAGATTGAGCCCAAAACTCTTTGGACTTGACATGGGCTCTTCTCTGAATCAAGCACTACTGGCTCATCATGTCACTCACTTTCAAATGTACAGTTTCAAACACGTGTAAATGTTCCTCTCAGAAGGCTTTTCAGAAATTCATTCAGACATAGGTATCATTAAATTTCCACCTGAGAGAATACCCCTGAATTCAGCCAGTTACAGCTTCACAACTGCATGGCCAAAATGAACAACCTTGTGCACTGTGGGTAAGAGAGACTTGGGAGAGTTTTGAGATGTAATATGTCCCCATACTCCCATCACCAGGGCAGTGTGACATCCAATAAAGTGCATCAGAAGTTGACGTTTTTACTTCTGCTTAATAAAAATGGTAAATTAGAGCCTGGTGTAAATAACAGCCTGGTGTTATAGAACCTACTTTAAAAAATTATGCTTCCTTAGATTGTAGTCATTGTACTGCCATTGGCATCTTCTTATAAATGGTTTTGGCTTCCATCCATCCACTTCCTACTGGAGCACCAATCACTGTCGTGCCCAACAGCCCTTCCAGAGGCTAGTTAAAAACACAATTCACCCCGGTGTATCCTCATTCTGCCCCTGGAGCCTCCTGTTATTGGACAGACTTGAAACACCACGGATCCTCAGTGTTTCCCACAGAACTGGATTCTGTTTGAGTTATAATATTTAATAAATAATAATTACAGATAAAAATGTCCTAATTTGAAAATATAACAAAGCTTGAAGAGGCACAATAATCAACTGCCTCTTCAGGGAGACTCTCACCCCATGATCTCACTCCAACTGCATTATCTTGGAGAGCCTTTAGTGAAGATAGAGTGATCCTTTTATCACTCTTATATCCAGAGCTCTACAAGGACTGCCTATACCAGCTCATGTCCAGCACAGGGGAGCTGGAGGACAGCTGACTGGTGGACAAAAGAGTAACCTGAATACTGTCAGCAGCCGCAGAGAAGCAGCCACTGAACTATCAAAAAAGGGGTCTGCTGTTTAATTGATTGTGGAAGGCATCTTTCTCTTAACTTGATGGGGAAAAATTAAAAGGTCAAAATGAGTCACAAAATAAAATTTGTCAACTCCAATCCTTGTTTTCAGAGCAGAGATGGCAGTAACAGAAAATGTGAAGTAACTTCACCTGCACAGCCCTGCATCCAGAAAGTATGGTCATATTAAATTTGTAAATGGAATATCTTGTTCCAGTGGCATCATTAATAAGTCATTGTACATACATGGCACTTACTGGGGCCAGGGTTCAAATACATGTCACAGTGAAGGGTGATAGACATTGTGAATGAATCCTTGCAATCTTGTGGTGCCTGCTGAGAACCAAATAATCAAAACTGTGCTCAGGGACACGGTAATAAAGGACTCACTTCATTTTTCTGATTCATTGGTAGAGAGGACCCAACAAGTGCTAACTGTGATCATCTTATTTCCAGATGAAATATGAGGTGGTTGTTGTATCAAGGCTTCCAAATTCTCTGTTGTGAACTGCATGGTCACAGTGTGGAAGGGAAAAAATCAGCCAATAATTATAGCAGAAATATTGCATATGTATCCCAGAAAGTTAATTCTGTTCATGTTAATGTTGCGTTTTTAGTGAGAGAAATGTTTCGTCACTCATCCAACTGACTTCTTCAGTCTTCTTACAGATGAACAAAATCAGTTTTCTGGGATTTCCTAACCTGGATGAATGTGCATGCATCAACATGATACAACAGATACATCACATCATACCAGTGTTGCTTTAATGTTGCTTTGTCTCATTGTTTTCAGGATTATCTGCTGAGTCACATGTACAGCAACGCTGCCAGAGACGACCTGTGGAGGAAACTGTCTCAGGTAACCCTCACCTGACTTTATGTCTGTTTGGTATTTAAACCTTGTGTACTTCCCTGCCCCAAAGGCTTCAAGGCAGAGCATTTAACTTTAATGGTAGTGCCTTGCTCAGTAGCAGGTGTTAAAACCTGTAACTATTCCTCAACTGGCTCTGTTGGGACAGAGCTGCCAGACTAATTGAAGCTGTTCATTCTTTAGTAAAGCACTTCTAATGAAGATGCTCATTATCACCTGACTTAGTGAGGAGCCTGTTGCCGTGGTAACATGAGGTTGAGCTTGTTTTCTTGTTTGTCCGACACAGGAGGGGCAATGATTTGATTAATTGAGCGTCACCTCTGTTAGCACTGTCCATTAGACTGACACTGCTCTTTAATTAGCTGCCAGTCTTATATCTAATTATGTCAAGGTCAATTTTCTCCCACACAGATTATTTTAATCACTGATTGGATGTGTGTAAATTGGTCATTATTAGTCATTGATCATTTACACTACGTGTGTGTTTGATTCTGCTTTAAAGGCCATGCGCTCAGAGGGCCGAGATATTGACATCGGGGAGATGATGGACAGGTGGACTCTACAAATGGGCTACCCTGTTGTCACCATCAGCAAGAACCAATCAGAGCAGCTCCCTACATATTACATCACAGTCAGCCAGGAGCACTTCCTGTATGGAGAGGAAGTCAGAAAAAACAACAGGTGAGGGAACTGAAAGCTGTCAGATCTTTTAATATTCTGTTATTTCTCAGAGATTGTAATAAACTATATGTCATTTTATTAAACTTACTTTGATGCACCCAAGAGTGATGGAAGCTCTACAGTAACAAGATGGCAGTTATAATCGAGTGTAGCCAAGCTAACAAACTAGCATGACAAAACATTCTGTTCTGTTAGCCTGTAGTCTAATATTCATTCGATGCCCATTAGAAACTGAGAGCTACGTGCCTTGGTAGCACTAGTGGGTTGGGCACAGCACTGACAAAATTACTGCAATGAACTTATGAACTTGTGAAATTTCAGGAGAACTGTCCTTTGGACAGACAAAACCAAAGTGGAGATGTCTGTACATAATGCACAGCAGCATATTTGTAGAAAACCAAACACAGCATGTCAGCAAAAACACCTCAAATATTCCTTCAGACTGATGTGAGATGCTGAGAAAGTCATACAAAAATCAAGTATAGTGGAACCCCGACTTACGAAATTAATTTCTTCCCGAGGGTCTTTTGTAAGTTGAAAAATTTCGTAAGTCGAAGCACCCATCGTGCCTTTTGAGTGAACAATAGGCTATAGGCTAATTGCTAACTGCAACAATAATACGTCGTTCAAGTGGAACAGCGAAGCGCAAGTACGAAAGCCAAGGGGATTATCACATGATTCGGAAGGCATTCTGGGCATTGTAGGCATTCTGGGCCCAGCCAATCAGAGCCAGCGGACTTCATTACGTGGGCATTTTGCCGTAACACGGGCAGAAATATTGCCGTTAAGTGCCTTCGTAACTTGAATTTTTTGTTAAATGGGGTATTCATAAGTCGGGGTTCCACTGTACTTCAAGTAAATGCTACTAAAGAAAGTTCTACAAGCTTGTGAATCAAAGACTAAGTTGGTTTTTCATAGGACCACACTCAGTGAAACTCTTTTTCACTGTATGCTTTCAGACGTGGCTACCTTATGATTGACAAGTTTTTACTGTACAAGCCACCACTATGCACCAGGTTCAGTCAGCTCTAGTTGAGCAATCAACAGGAGACTTAAAGGCGATGTGTGCTGTCACTGTGGCTACCAGCAGTGCATGACTGCAGAATCTTTGAAATATTTGTAGTTCTTTTTTGTAAGTGTATCCAACTTATGCATAAAAAGTTTGGTTAAGCAAGTTTGAAAAATGTTAGTTAGTCACTCTGGTTTGTCCATATGGCCCTTCTACAAATGCCGCTCTTTGGATGGACCTAATTTATAGCTCTAAGAATAGGCATTATGGAGCTGGAATCTCTGGACACTAGTTGGCCTTTAGACTGCTAGTCCTATTCCTGACATGTCTCTCCATCTGTTCTTCATTCAGTCATTCACCGCTGAAACAATTCTCCTGAAACCCCTCATTTCACGCTACATTAGGCACTAAGTTTGTCTTTCAGTGATCTTGCTGGATTTTTTTTCCTGAAAAGGCACTTTCCCTGTTTCCTCTCTCATTCTTTACCACCTTTACATCTTTTATACTTCATTTATATTTGATTCCGATCATGTTTTATTCACATCTTTTACAACCTTTGGAGTTTACTCTCTTCTGTTTTATCGACCCACTTTCTTTTCCATCAATACTTCATCAGCTTCCTTCTTTTTTTTATTTCTTTACTTTTACCTGTTCTTGTTTTCTCCCATCATTTATTTCCAGGTCTTTCTCTCTCTCTTCAGTCTGTCATGTTTTTGTACAGTAGTTGACATTTACAATCACTCTGACCTGCTCAGTTTCTCAACAAAAGTTTCCTCAGCTTTTCTTATGTTATGTTCTTTTTCTTGTCTTTCATGTGGAGTTTTTTGTGTTTCACTTGAGCTGAGAATCGCTCTCGAGGTCTCATCAGCTGATGAACTGAAGCTGTTTGTTGTAGGTGGAGTTGAAATCTTTCTTTTGCTCTTGTTGAGTCTCCTGGGGCCGCGTTCAGACACACTCAGCGGTCCCGGGGCATTCACCAACACTAAAAAGAAACTGCTGCTGTGCTTTTAGTTGATTCGGCTTCACGGCTGAGTGCAGCCGGGGCTGATGCTGCTGTTTGATTCAGCGGAGCTGTGTTTAGAAGCACAGCAGTGTCCCGCAGTGTACACACTGTTGACTCAAGCCCAGACTGCTTTATCTAATTATTTATTATCAGTATTATTTTCATGAGAAGAGAACTCTTGGACATGCACTAAATTGTGTGCAGGTTGTCCAGTCCTTCAATAACTTGGGAACTCACAACTTTTCTGGAGAGAAAATACTGATGTGGGTTCATCCACAGAATGATCATTTTGCTGAAGGTTTTTGAAGCAGTTAAACTGGCTGCTTTTCCTGGGATTCAATAGTTCTTCTTTAAAGCTTTAAATTTTTGTTGTACAGTTCAGACAATTGTTGTCGACACTTTCAGTCTCCAGTTCTTTTGATGGGACACAGTATGAAGGAACAATATCTGGCACTTTTGCTATTTTGCTGTTTTCTTTTATTACTTAAACAAGTCATCTGTCGGAAAAAGCTCATCATCATCGCTTCACCCTCATGGTGTGTTTAGACCAATCCTCTTTTCCAATGATTACATATGGATATACAAAATTTGAGCCTCAGTCATCTTCTATGGACAACCAGCCCTGTATCATTCAGCTTTGATATGAAAACAGAAAAAAAATAGGAAGGGAAAAGTTTGTAAAATCAGAGCTCATTATATATCTCACAAGTATTCATTTCTGTGCAGATTGTACCTTCTTATTTTCCTTTGGCTCTGCTAAAAAAATAACATCTTATCGCAGATTATTTTCTGCCACTGAGAACCTCATATACCTTTTATAAAAAGGTACTTTAATTTAGCAATTAACTCTGATTATAACCTTACTCCAGTTTTAAAAAAGTGTATGTTTGCAGGTCAAGATGACCTGCTCAAACTGAGCATCAGAATAAAGAGCAAAATTGACTGACGTTACTTAAGAATATGGCATGATTGTTGCTCATCTGCTGGGATGGTCCTTCACAACCATCTCTAAAGTTTACAGAGAATGGAGCAGATCACATCAGGTGCAGATGTGGTCCACAGAGCTTAAATCTTCCTAAAAGTTTAAATAAACTAAATTCAATAGGGCACCTTTGGGATGTAGTGGAACACGAGACATCGTGGATGTGTAGCTGAGAAATCTGCAGCAGTGCACAATGTCTACAGCTTGATGCTGTCATGTCAGTATGGACCTTTGCAGGGTTAACTTGTTATAGCTTAATGTTTGACTTAACCTAACAACACAAGACAAAGTTATGTGACCTGCAACAATGTTTTCCACTGCTTTTGAAAAGAAGGTATCTGGACCTCTACAATGGTACTGATGAGTGAGAATGTACATAGACAAGGTTTTCCACTGTTCCCTTGGTTACTGTAGTTATGCATTTCACTACTTTGCTGTTGATGACACCAGCAGAGCACTTTAGGCCTGGTCTCATGGAATCTATTTTAGACATAGAGGGCTTTTTATTGAATTGTGTTGGAGTAGTAGGAGTAGTAACTCTGGAAAAAAAACACTAAAAGGGTACCCACTGATTTCCCACATGATGACTAAGGTCGTGACTAAGTATCAGTATGTGCTTCAAAGAAAGTGAGGATGGTTTTGCATAGACTTTAGATCACATAATGAGTTTTAAAATGTATTTTTAAAGTCTCTCATGACAACCTGGAAAGGCTGGTGTCCACCGAAGTACAGGTTAGCACTGTTGCCTCACAGCAAGAAGGTCCTGAGTTCAGCCTGTGTGGAGTTTGCATGGTCTCCCTGTGTTTGTGTAGGTACTCTCCAGGTGTCCCCCACAGTCCAATGGCATGCAGTTAGTTGGGTTAGGGCAATTGGTAACTCTAAATTGCCCATAGGTGTGAATGGTTGTCTGTCTCTTTGTTAGCCCCAGAAGTGGGCCTATCCAGGGTAGGCTCCAGCCCCCCGCGACCCTAACAATGATAGGTGGAAAAGAATGGATGGATGGATGAAAACTAACTAGCATGCTAACTTACCTGCAGCCACTCATAAACTGACATCCAACCAGCTGTCACATCAGCGTGACAGGCAGTCATCTATGTATCCAATAAATTTAAGTTGGAGAGGAAGCTTTTCATTTACATAACAAAAACAAATCTACATTTTCAGACTTTTTGGCATTTTGTTAACTTCAGGTATTAAGGTGACATTTTGAAGATCACGGTTTATTTTTGTCAAACACATTCTTCTCTTCCTCTGGTGTTGTGCTTGGAGACATTTTAAATTTGGGTCTTTTTATTTTGCCACCATCAAACAACCAGGGAGATAAATGCCTTTAAAAGAACTGAAGTGACAGGCAGAGAGAGAGAGACGATGAGGACAGCATGAGCTAACGTTAAGGTCGAGGCAATGATACTGAAAATAAATCAAACAGTATCTCAGTCAGGATTTAACAGCTCGTTTTTGTGGTGTCTCGTCAGCTGACAGGTAAACAGTGATGTGATTGGAGAAGCAGTGTCTGTGTGCTTGATTTAATGAGCTTTAATGCTAAACAGGACAGTGATGAATTATTCATGAGTCCACAAAACCACAGTTGAAGGAAGTATTTATATACTGCTTTACCCTTATGAGCCAGATAAGTATGACTAAACAAATTTTCCAGAAAAAGCTCTTCTTCTTTTGGCTGCTCGCTTTAGAGGCCACCACAGCAGATCACCTCCATCTCAAAGTATTCCAGTATCCTCTGACAAACCAATCCTCTGCAAATCCTGCTTCACTACATCCATGAGTCTTTTCCTCCTGCCTGGCAGCTCTATATTCAACATTATGTCCAATATATGCACTATCCTTCCTCTGCACATGTCCAAACTATCTCAGCCTTGACTGTCTCCAAACGGCTCAACCTGAGTCGTTACCCTGATGTACTTATTTCTAATCCTATCCATTCTGGTCACTCACAATAAAAATCTTAGCATCTTCAACCTGTCACCTCTAGCTTGACCTTCCTTCTT